TTTTTGCATAGATCGGGTTACGTTTCCATTGTTGTTTGTTTGTTTTTACAATAATTGATAATTGCATTTCATTGAATTTGTTCAGTTTGTTAAATTTGGTTGATAACACAATTGAAAAGAATACAAAATTAATTGGAAAATAAGAGATGTGAAAAGCAGGGAGACAGTGAATGAGAGGCCGGTTCAGTGAGAGTGAAAGGCGTCGATTCAAGCGATAAGAGAAATAGAAACAGAAAAAGTAACGGCGAAAGTATATTTGTGCGAAAGAGACAGCGAGACAAATGAGTACAGATGACAATTGAGAATTGCGAGTGCAAATCAAAAGACACGATAAGCGAAGATAGGTGTAAACGAGAGAAAATAACAGTGGACGGCATCGATTGAAATATGAAATGTAGCGTAAAAGTAAATACAAATCAAATTAAATGTGTTGGTTTTTATTGTTACGAATGATTTAGTGTGTTTAAATTGATTGTTAATAAGCCATTTTATGCGTCAGGTGTAATGCATTAAGTTTAACAATGATTTTAAGTGAATGTGTGATCGTGTGTGTATGTTTTGTTAGCAAAACAGACCCCCAAAGAACGTTTACAGGCGGAACATTAAGTTTTAATATTGTTTTTGTTTTGTTTGGTTTTTTTTTTTTTTTTTTTTTTTTTTTCGAAGCGGGTTAAAAAAAGAGAAATAGAAAATATACGAAAAATACTCATTATTCAATTTGTTGAATATATATGGATCAGCTACAATAGTCTTGCAGTGTATTACATCAAAAAAATATATAAATATGAATAAGAATAGCAACAAAAAATAATAAAAATATCAAAGAAAGCCAAATAAAATATGTTACAGATTAACCCAAGAAAAAAAGCAATGCGACCAGATCTTCCAACCAACTTTGATGCATAGATACATCCATATGAACATATAATCAAAATATATAAATATATATATACATGTAGGTGAAATACTCCTAGCCCAACAAAATGTTTGATTAATGAATTTTTGTGAGAAAAACTATTATAGTTAATGGAAAAAGCTTGTGCGTGCTTTTGGATTACGGTGAATGGGACGTTTGAAAACTCGAGAATTCTTCAATAATATTGAAACCGCAATCAAAAATGGATGAACGAAATAACAACATAAAAGAAAAATGGTTTCTTTAATAAGTTGAATTCCCCCCGAAAATACTTTTCAAATTACATTCTCTGAGTGTAATCAACGCTGTATCATGAGTATTTTTGTTGTTACATACAAGTAAATAAAGTCCTATAACTTTTTTTTTTTATAAATATATGTACTATATGTACTTAACATAAAACATTTGTCTTTCTGTATAGATCTCACTTGGTTCTCATCATCATCATCAACATCATTATGAATAACTGATAACCCATTATTTTTTGGACGATGTCGTCGTCGCTGCTGCAGTTGAACTTTTCACAAAATCAATCGAGGCCGAGTTGATGCAGAAGCGGCGATGCTTCGGTGGAGGTCCATCATCAAACACATGACCCATGTGGGCCGAGCACTTGGAGCAGCGCACCTCGGTGCGAACCATCCCTAACGTTTTTGAAATGACTACTGTTGTTTTAATCATATTATATTATGTTAGTTTTTGCAATTGTTTTCAAGGTCAATTTCATAATTTGAGAAATTTTCGGTTTTGGTTAGCAAAAAAGATGGTGGATAAAAGAACATAATACTCAATTAGGTAAGAATTAGTTAATGCTATTCAGAATTTGGCTATTGCACATTCATCCAACAGGACATAATCACAAGTAACGGCACAAACAGTTTGACACTTAAGCAGCTCAACACTACAGTGAACACATGGATATAACACACGCATATATGTAGATGTATTTGTATGTAAATTGTAGCATTCTAACAGTCTAAACGCATTATTATTATTATTATTTTTTTTTTTTCAAGAACAACAATAAACGTAATAGATCGACGATATAGATATTGACTATGGGATTTTCACAAACTTTTCGATTTTGTCGTCTGTAACTATATACAATTTTTTTTTCTATATATAACATACTCTTTTGTAAATATTTTATTTGCAGGGTGCTCAACTTAAACTCAATTTGCAGTCAAAATTCTTGTTGCGAAGCGACAAACAAATCAAATTAAATAAGAATTGTACAAAATAAAAATCAATTGCAAAACATTTAAAAGTGCTGAACGTATCTAAGCTAAATAGAAATTGAAATCGCAAATGCACTATATGTAGACATATAGCACACATACCTGGTATACTGGCATCGCGATGCAATGTGACTTTCCCCTTATCGAGCACATCGTTGAAAGCTGGCCAGCCGCAGCCCGAATCGTACTTGGTATCCGAGCTGAAAAGATCCTGATGGCAGACAATACATCGATATACGCCCTTCTCGTAGTGCTTGTTGTAACAGCCTTGAAAATACAGAAGTACATGGTTTAGAGCCAGGTTTATGTAATTAGTGTCAAGTTTATTCAAGCACACCTGTGAAGGGGCGCTCAGTGCCCGCCTCTTGTGTAACCTGATACTGCAGCGGCGTTAGACGTTTCCGCAGCTCCTCCTTGTTTACGGTAATCTTTTCACTTTTATTCTCCATGTTTGCTTGAAATGTGTTGGAATTTGTGTTCTTGTTGTTGGCGTTGCCGTTGCCCTCGCCGTTGCTGTTGCTGCTTTGACGTGAATCTGCAATTTAAGTCGAATCCGTATATTTAAGCTTGCGGTTAACGTTTTTTCTTTCGCAACAATTGAGCAATTTGTATCAGTTTACCATAAAAATGTATGTACAGTAAGTAGCTCCATGTGTTGTTGCCCTAGCAAATTTTCTACTTAGGTGAACGAAAATATTTGCTTAGCTAGCAATTTTTAGTATGTTACACATCTTGAGAAAGTGGATTTAGATAACCAGTTTAATCAAGGCAAATACGAATACAAAAATTTGTTCTTTAGCACTTGCTCTCATATACTTTGAATCATCTTATCAATATGATTCCACTTAATCTCAAGTAATATTCCAATCTATCTTATAATCTTTTATGTGAGCTCCCTATTCTTTTTCTTTCGCTCAGCTTTGATACTTTTGTTCTTTTGAAAATCAAGCAAATAGCGATTATTTTATTAGCCCTAACTAACTTATCAGTAGACTCAACGACAAAACCTTACAGAGGATCATAAATTATAAAAACAGACTTCGCCGGGCAAATAATAAGAAAGTTAATTACCCCGCTATCAGCAATGATATGCAAGAAATAATTGTGGAAAAACAACTTGAAGCTCATAAAAATAAAGCAATGTTACTGCAAACCAAAACCAACCGCATAATTTGTATACACAATATGTGCATTAACAAAGTTATACAAAATTGAGTAAAATGGAAGGTGTGAACAAATTTGTGAGGTCTTTGGAAACTGCAACGCTACAAATTGAGTGAAGAAACGCATAGGTTAAAAATAATTTTATGCTCCGCACTTAAATTAAGTGGCGCCCAATATAAACATAAAACAGACTATGCACGAAACGAGGGAAAATTGGGGGCGTTTTTGTTAAATTTTTCTTTGATTTTAAAAGAAAAACCCACTGAAGTGTGTCGCGCACAACTTAAAACGATGAATTCATTTCGAAAAAAAAAACAAAACCAAAACAAATGCGCATTGTTGATCAAATAAAATGAATCAGTGAGCATCTAAAAATAGCAACTAAATTGACAGCTATAAAGTGTGCAAGGTATTAATGTCAGCAATTCGAACTAGAAAATTGAACTGTAATTGGAAATTCGCCAATGGGCTGGCCGCATAAAAATCAATTTAATTGCGTTTCATTATAAATCACATCTATTGTATTATGCGGCGCCCGATTCGCATTGGTCCAACTTATAAAATAACTACTCAGCTATGCCCGTGCCACGCCCACCCAGCCCATCCTATCTTCTCGGTTTCGGACTCACCCGCAAAGGCACGCACGTATGGTAGTGCAGATACAGCAACAACTCCGCTCTTCAAGTGATTCAAGTTGTACCTGTGCTGTTTACTAGCAATAAGTGCGAAATTTCGTGCCCACGGTGCGTAGCGAGAAAGTGAAAACATTTTTCAAACACCTCCAATTGACAACCGAAAGTCCGTAAAACGAATAACGTATAACAGCAACGGCGCGACTGCAGTTTGCACTTGGCACTGATGGGTTATTTAATCACATGTGAAATCGTAAAAAAAAACAAATGCGAAAAGTCAATGTTTCGCCCGTGAGTGTTGCTCTCACACCCACACACACACATTAACTAAACCAATATTTATGCAATTTTTCTCACTTCCGTGTTTTTATTATTTTTTGGCATTCTATTTCTACGTATGCACGCTTGTGTAAGTTTATGTGTGCACACAAACAGGGAGAGAAAGCGTATTAGAGAGAAAGCCAATGCTAATGCTTGCAGCTTGCTCAATATCACACGGTTGCTTACAAAAAGAAAATAAATACATTCATTTTCTAGTTGATAGAATTTTTCATAACCAGATAATTTAAAACAAACACTTATTAATAAAAATTCCTAATACGCCAGGCGCAAGGCAAACTAAAAACACACACATACATATGTTTATACATATATTCAAACGTAGGTGTCCTTGAACGGGCGCTACGGCTAGGCCAGGAAAACGCTCACCTGCAAATATGTATATAATTTGGTGTTGCTTATATTGCTATTTTTGGCTTTTGTTTATAATGTTTGCAGTCGTTGTGTGTTGCGCTCAATTTGCGTCTGTTAGCCACAACTGCTCTGTTTTCGCAGCAACGGAAAATGAAAAACTAAAAAGCTACAAAACAGCTGCCTAAGTAAGTTGACAATGTTACCAGACAAAATCCAAAAGCAAGCAGCTGTTGTACCGCGTTGCCAACGATTATAATTTTAATTTTGGTCTATCTGGTAGCACTGCAGATACATTTGTTTTGCTGGCTGCACATATAGTTTAATCTCTTGCAAATTTGTTAATTTGTGTCGCTAATATTAAAAGAAAAGAGTATTATTTCGATGCTTAAATAATGGCAAATAGTCGGCGTAGATAGTTATAACCGCGATGTGAAAATCTGAATTTTAAAAGCAACCAGCAGCGACCACACGCAAAGAGGGCGTCAACAAAGGGCGGAAGAGCACAAAGAAGAAGAACTAAAAAAAGAAAAAACAAATTCGACGCCTAACGAATATTTGTATTACTTGTTAGTAGTAGTTGTGATAACTTCGTTGCCATGAGTAACCACAGATATCATCACGGCGGCGGCAGCTACATGCATCCACGAATGTCGTATCCACATCACTTTACCTACGTTTCCAGTTGTGTGAAATACCTTATCTTTTTGCTAAACTTTTTGTTTTGGCTGTTCGGTGGGCTGCTCTTAGCGATTGGCGTTTACGCATTTATGGATAAATTGAAGGATGGCATTGGCTGGGTTCGACTGGAAACAATTTACGACGTTATCTTCAATATATCTTTAGTCATGATCATAGCTGGTATTGTCATATTTGTGGTCAGCTTTGCTGGTTGTTTAGGAGCTCTACGAGAAAATACTTGCCTTTTAAAATTCTATTCGATGTGCTTGCTGATATTCTTTCTCATGGAAATGGCTATAGGTGGGCACCTTTTTGTTTTTGTTTTTTTTATTCACCGTCAGTTAACCTAACTTAATTGTGATCTGTTTACAGCCATCATTTGCTTTGTATTCCCACAAAACATGAACTCGTTTCTAGAGTTTCAATTTACTGATAAGATTATCCACTCATACCGTGATGACTCCGACTTACAGAACTTTATAGACTTTGCACAGCAGGAGTTCAAGTGCTGTGGTCTAAGTAATGCTGGCTACCAGGATTGGAGTACGTAGAAATTTGAAATGTAAACTTTAAAAACCCCTTAACGCTGTAACCTTTTTAGGCAAAAACGAATACTTTAATTGCTCGTCCCCATCAGTAGAAAAATGTGGCGTGCCGTACAGCTGTTGCATCAATGCTACGGATATTAGCTCGGGTCTAGTCAACATAATGTGCGGCTATGGTGTGCAGGAGCACTCTGTGGCTGCAGCTAGCAAACGGATATGGACCAGCGGCTGTATCGAGATTGTTCGTGTCTGGGCAGAAAGGAATCTATATGTGATTGCAGGAGTTGCATTGGGAATTGCGTTCTTACAGCTCTTTGTGATTTACCTGGCAAAAACTCTCGAGGGCCAGATCGATATGCAGAAATCTCGTTGGTCGTGAGTGCCATAGCACCCGGTTTTTTACGGGTATCCATTCGATGATTTCTACTACTACGACACTCAAATGTAAGCAGAGGGCAACAAAGTAAACGGCCAGGCCGCGCCTGCGTCACTCTTGGTAATCCTTTCTTTGTCAATCGTCAGTTTATCTGGTCCGTGCAATGCTCAAATATTTTTTCACAATCAAACAGTATTTATACAATTTTACTCTTCTGAAGCTTTTTGCATTTCGAATACTATTGCCCTTCATTGCCATTTTCATTGTTCTCAATTACTCAATATTATACTCCGAATACTACCCCTTATATCTTAATCGTGTATACCTATTATAATCATAGAGAAATAATATTACCAAATGCCACATTTGTAATGAGCATTGCCCATTTAATGCATGTTTATATGTAAGTATTTTAAAGCATAGACAAAATTATAATGAAATTAACAAATTTTGATATATTTCAACGCAATATTAATATATTCTCGTTATCATAAAAATTAAAGACATAATGTACATAGATGTTAAGAGAGGTGTATGCATTTACTGTACGGCATTCGAACTAAATGATAAGCCAATTTGAAATTGCATGCACATTTATATATGTATTGTATACCCAACACAATTAGTATTAGTATAAATATTATATAACCTATTGTATTGTAGTAGTACACCATTCAAAAATACTTATCTCAAAATATCGAACAAATATATGTGTATACAAATGTCAGATACTAGATCTCTGAATATTTGATTTGATTGCGTTACTAGTATAGTAAATAATTTATTAAATATTTCAAGCCATCCTTAAGACTTTTTACTTTAATTATAAGAAACAACTTACAATATTTCCAAATGAGAAGGAATTTCAAAGTCAACAGACATGCTTATGTGTCGGTATGTATTTATTTTTGCTAAATCATCCACCTACATACATATATAATGAATATACATATTTTTTATTTCACCATTTGATGAAATTATATTCCAAGGCTGAAGATAATTCGAGCACCATCAAGATTACATTACCTAATCAAAGGTCAAAAGATAAGACTTTGTCTCTCTTTAAACTAGCTCTTCTTGAAGCTTCAATTAAATCGTTCTAGTGAAGTATTTTGCTTGCGTGTACTGGGCAATTACATATTTTCTTTATTATCTTTTACAACAGAGCAAGTACAAAATGTGGTATATTTATATGTATGTATGTACTATGTATGTATATTGAACAAGTTTTAGTAATTTATAATGCTGCGAATGCTTTCGCCACTGTGCATCAAATCGAAAGCTTCGTTGATTTTAGTTAGTGGCAATTCATGCGTTATGAACTCATCCACAAGTAGATCTCTCTTTAGGTAGGCCTCCACTAATTTGGGTACATCCGAAACGGAGCGCCAACCACCAAAAGCAGAGCCCTTCCACACACGACCCACAACCAATTGGAATGGTCGAGTGGAAATCTCCTGGCCAGCACCGGCCACACCTATCACCACAGATGTGCCCCAACCCTTATGCGTAGCCTCGAGAGCAGCGCGCATAGTATTTACGTTGCCAATGCACTCAAAGGTGTAATCGAAACCGCCATCGGTCAAATCAATCAAATAGTTCTGAATAGGGCCCTTGTCGGCAACATCTTTCGGATTCACGAAGTCAGTGAAGCCGAACTGCTTTGCCAATTCGAATTTAGCTGGATTGATGTCAATGCCATAGACCTTGCTTGCGCCAGCCTTTTTGCAGCCTAGTCCAACGGCCAAACCTACGGCGCCCAGTCCCCAAACGGCACAGGTGCTTCCTGGTTCTACCTGTATATAAAACATTGCTTGAGCTGAATATATAATATCATATGCTGACTTACCTTAGCAGTATTGAGAGCCGCACCGTAACCAGTAGAAATGCCACAGCCCAGAAGACACACCTTGTTCAGCGGCGCAGTCTCGTTGACCTTGGTTAATGAAATATCAGCAACCACAGTGTACTCCGAGAATGTGGAGGTGCCCATGAAATGGAACAGCTGTTTGCCCTTGCAAGTGAAGCGAGTTGTACCATCGGGCATTACGCCAGCTCCCTGGGTGACTCGAATCTTCTGGCAAAGATTAGTTTTGCCACTCAAGCAAAACTTACAATCATTGCATTGAGGAATGTACAGTGCAATAACGTGGTCGCCGGTCTTAAAGTTGGTCACGCCCTCACCTACGCTCTCCACGATGCCAGCGCCCTCGTGGCCTAGCACAGAGGGGAACAGGCCCTCGGGATCCGCGCCACTCAGTGTGAAAGCATCTGTGTGGCACACACCTGTTGCCGTAAGCTTAATGCGAACCTATAAAGTACACACATACATATGTATGTATAACTGTAATAGTTAGACTTTGGTATCGTTCTCGACATACTTCATGTGCCTTGGGGGGGGCTACTTCGATATCTTCGATAACAAGCGGCTTTTTGGCCTCCCAAGCAACAGCAGCTTTGCACTTGATAACCTAAAGGAGAACACATATATACAGTTGTGACTTGTGCTTTAGTTAAGTTACTTATTTTATACACACTTTTCCTTCAGTAGCGGACATTTTCTTCTATCTTTTTAATGGAAAAAACCCACAACGACTGAACCAGAGCAGAAGCGGAATAGCGAATGTTAGAGATGTGAGCAAACGCCAGCTATATGCTGTTTCTCCGAGGATTTCCTCTCTCTTTCTTTTGTCGGTCATTGTGAATAATTAATATTGGTGGACCAAACCAGCGGGCATGACATAATCGCTGGAATATGTATTCCAACAAATATTCGGAAATCTGTCCTGCAATAATTTTAACTCATTTGTTATGATTAATCGATACTTTGCTAAGATTTGGCGCCATAGACAACAAGCCACTAAATATGTGCATTTATTAGATACAAATATTATTAAATTGGAATAATATCGTGCTTCTGTAAATCTGTATTTTGCATAAAGTTTTATTTGTTTTTTTGTCTTTTAATTTTTGAAACAATGTTTGTTTTTTTTTTGTCGTTTGCTATCGATGTATGGCAGACTTTGCCGGCGAAATTAAATATCGAATTGCTAAAATACCAAATAAATTGATAACGTTTTTGTTTTAAATTCAAATCTAATTCTTCAACATTTACCTTTAAAAACTAAAATAAATTATATAATTAGCATGGTTTGCTTTTTTGATTTCAAGAAGTTAACAAGTTTGTTTTTTATTGAATTGTTAAACAGCTGTTTGATTGCATTTTAAAACAAGTTGCTGCGCCTGCGTTAGCTTTCTGTAAACATCATTCGCCCAACCCAAAAAGGCGGAAACGTCAAGGAACGTCAAATCAGCACAAGGACATTGAATTAGTATGAAAAATCAATAATTACATAGCTACTAAGACGCACAGCCGGAAGTGCATTTTTATGAGTGTCAAGTTAACTGCAGCAGAGAAAACGCAAATTTTATTGCATAGATGGTATTAAAAACATATAGATTGTGAATATAAGTTACATATATTGCTCGAGTACAAAATGGTTGGTAAAGGCGCATTGAGCGCAGATGTGACAACAAAGGAACGCCCTGTTTTCATTCCACCACGAAAACGTCAACAAAACAAAGCCGAGGCTAAAAAGCAAAATTATGTCGATCACATAGTTAATGTGCAGGTAATTTCACTTATTATTGCTTTCAATTTTAGCCATAAAATGTATATATTGCGGTACATATCTTATCTTAAATAATATATGTATTTGTTTGCAGCAAAACCGAACTAAACTGTCACCCTCGAATCCAGGTCTCGAGGAAGAGTTGCTTAAATCGAAATTAATAATCAAAAATAAACAACCACTGCCTCAGTTACCAGGTGAACAGGGTGACACAATCGCCAGCACCAACTCAGCCAGTTCCACTCAACAGAGCAATAAATCAGCACGATCCGCCAACAATCTGAATGAGCTACAGAATTTTGAGTCTATTTCCCAGGGCACCAAGTCCACGTCACAGCGCCATGAGAGCAGCACAGTAACGCCCAGCAGCTGTTGCTATTCAGAGAGCAGCTTGGATGCCAAGCTGAGCAAATCGCAGGACTGTCTTAGTCTGAGCAATCGTTCATCGTCAAAGAAGCGAGTTAACATACGCACCTCCGACTTGCCACAAGTGCGCAGCGGACGAGCTACGCCGGATATAGCCAACTATGAGGATCTGGAGTCGGGTGAAACCAGTGTGCTGAACACCTACGATCAAAGTCTAGAACGCTATCAAACACGCAAGTCGGGAGTCGATGGAAGTAACTATTTAACTATGACAGGTGGGTACCAAAACATTTCAGTTCATTGCTTTGGAATTCATCGTCATTGTCTCTGGTTAGGCACCATTAAGAGGGGTCGCAAGAAAGGTCAGTCTATTGATCTGCAGATTAACATCAGCCGGGAGGAACTGGAACAGCTTAATGCCCATGCCATGGCGAGTGAATCGCACAAGGGTCAGAATCTCTGCTGCACTTGCAGCTGTGGTGTTGGTCTACACATCTTTCTCATCTCGTTAATATGTTTACCCTTTGTGACTATCATCTCGGCTGCCTACTCATTTTACATCGGCACTTTGACCTGGTATAATATGTTCAACTACTACTGCGAGGAGAAGTCGTATTTGCACAAGATCTTTGTCACGCCCATACTCTTTCTGGCCTATCCATTGGCGATTGTCCTTTGCACCTTTGGCCTGGGCTTGTATTCGGGATTTAAGCAACTGAGTCTGCAATACAGCAGCTGGGTAAATGATATAACCGATATAGAGAAGGGTTTCTATGGCTGGTTGTGCGGCTTCTTACACATGTCTGACTGCAGTCCCTACGAGGTGGTCATCCTAACTGATATATGTGTGGCCCCACAGGACCCTCAGCGGCTACACATAAATAAGCCCAGGCAGGAATTATCTATGTAAAACCAAAGAATCGAGAAAAATATATTAGCAAAAAGCAGCGCAAACCGTCAAATGCCATAAAAGTGCTGGGTGCATCCATAAATTAATTTGGACAGGTTCTAGTTTATCTCTCAATATACATATATATTCATATATGATTTATGATTTTATTATATTTTCTACATAACTATATAAATAATATATAGCAAATAGAACAAGCACCGCAGTAGCCAACAGCATATCGAAATATTTTTTGTGACGGTTTCGATTTTCGACCATATGTGTGATAAACGTAATTAGAAACATAAAAAAAAAAAACACCAGTTACTCAAATTATATCTATATCTTTGTGCTATGAGTACGACAACAAAACTAAAACAAAAGTTCAATGCATTTAGTTCCAGTTTGGCCAAATTTGTTCCTTTCATAGCTTTCTACTGCAAGTATACACAAATACAAATTATTACTATCCAATTTACAGAGTCTAGACATTAAGTTCCTTTTATTCTAAATCCACATATTCATACACACATATATGTAATCAAATAGTCATATATATTCAATGTCACAATTTAGTGTTTTTGTTGGTTTTCTTTTAAAGTTTACTCAAGGCCAAATTTTAAGAATATATATACTCCAGAGATTACGATTGCATTTAAAAATAATTGCATTTATATTGATATAAACCAAAGTGAAACTGCGTAGTAGCTATAAAGCATTTTCTTAAGCATAAGCAAGCATCTTATTTAGTCTTAAGTACCAAAAATACAGCCAATAGTAGAGGCTAAAATATACATATATTTGAATGATATGCGATATAAGCAAATGTTTTTAAATAGAATTTTTAAAATGTAAGTGGTATACTTAATAAAAAAATAAAAAAAAAACTTAATGCGTGACGCTGAATATTATATACTCTATCAGACACGCTAAATATCTCCCATGACTCGTGAACGTTAATTTAAGTTAATGAACAAAATGTTTTTGTACAAAAAACAAAACTATTTTAAGTGCAATGATTTGTGTATTTATTAAGTCTGGTTAAGATATACATATGTACATAAAATATTAGCAACTTTTTCCTAAGAACAACAGCTTCGTTCTCGACAGATCGTTCCTATCACAGATACATATATGATATAGGAAAGCGATCTAGCCGATTTCGCATTGCATGCTGCCAATAACAATTTGATCTAATGCACCTCAGTATGCATTGTTATGCATTCAAATGATAGGTTGATCATGAATACATACATATATACGTACACATACAAATAATAGGTCGCTCCCATTAAAGTGTTGTCCATGCTCTGTGACCAAATTAAAATGCCCTTTGCGGTAGCGAGGGGAAAAGTATACTTCCATCTCTTATGTATGACAAACTTAATTAGTTTGAGAAATAAAGAAAACAAAAACTATAATTGAGAATAACTTAACCCACTTGTTTTAATTTATTTTCAAAATAATGCCCTCTATTAGGTATTAGGTATACATATATTATAGCTCATATTAATTTTAATTGCTTTTAATCTGTTCGACGCACCTCGTACGTATATGGTAAATATTGGTTGAAATGATAAGCTATACTCTAAGCCAATATAACTCTTCATATTATGAAATGAATATAATACACGCGACACATGCACACATAAATATAAATATATATGTGTGTACCTAAATGCTATACACATTGGAAGAAGGGAGATAGGAATATAGCAGCCGGCAATTCTAAGCACAAACAAAAACAGGAAAGCTCAGTGAATAAACTAAAAACAAGTGGGCGAATTGCATCAATAAACAGCTGTTCAAGAGCGCAGATAGTAAGTCTACTGCGAGTATTATCTGAATTATTTCTAATACTATACACAAATACAAAAAATTACATATTTTATTATATGCATAATATAATGTCTGCTTATATATATGTATGTATGTAAATCAACATTTACTTATTTTTTCGTATGAATATCTTTCTCGCGTGTTAAGAGAGAGAGAGAGAGAGAGAGTTCTCCACTAGAGAAAACTTTGTTGTTGAGTATAGCGACCAGCTATTTAATACATCAGTTTAGTATCAATTGGGCGCTTAATACGTGCAGACCATATTTGCTTGCAAGTAAATAATTTTGGATTCGTATCAGTAAAAGTACATAGCTGAACTACAGAATGGCACAGGATAATCTGACAGCAGTTCTGCACGGAATAAACGACTTGCGATTGGTATAAAAATAATCAATGATATAATAAATATAAAAATTAATACATCTTATATGCAGGAGCAACGTCCGATCCCGGAAATATCAGATGAGGGTAAGCCATTAACATCAACATGTATCGAACGCCCGCAGAATACAGCTGTCGATAAATCGATATTAATTTCAAATAATTTTATCCAGAGGTATTAATCGCAATGGATAGCGTCGGGATTTGTGGATCAGATGTTCATTACTTAACTAAAGGCCGTATCGGCCACTTTGTGGTGACCAAGCCCATGGTAATTGGTCATGAAAGTGCAGGCGTGGTTGCCAAAGTGGGCAGCAAAGTTAAGAATCTGGCTGTAGGAGATCGAGTTGCTATTGAACCGGGAGTTCCTTGCTACAAATGCGATCATTGTAAGCAAGGCAGCTACAATTTGTGTCCTGACATGGCATTCTGTGCCACGCCCCCTTACGATGGTAATCTGACCCGATACTATAAACACGCAGCGGACTTTTGCTTTAAGCTACCTGATCATGTCACCATGGAGGAAGCTGCTTTACTAGAACCGTTGTCCGTGGGCGTACATGCTTGCCGTCGTGCTGGTGTGGGCCTAGGCTCCAAGGTGCTTATCCTTGGTGCAGGTCCAATTGGACTGGTTACGTTACTGGTATGCAAATATTCATTAATTTGGTCAATTTAACTAAATGTTTATATTTATAGGTAGCACAATCTTTGGGAGCCACGGAAATTCTGATCACGGATTTAGTACAGCAACGTCTGGATGTTGCCAAAGAGTTGGGCGCCACCCATACACTGCTGCTAAATAAAGAAGATGTCGCGGAAGACATCGCTGAGCGTGTGCGTCAATTGATGAGTGCAGAACCCGATAAGGCGATCGACTGCTGCGGAGCAGAGAGCAGCACGCGACTGGCAATCTTTGTAAGAGCTTCTAATGCGATATGATGTATGCTCTATTTATCTGATTTTGTCATATGTTGCAGGCTACACGATCTGGCGGTGTTGTTGTTATTGTTGGCATGGGACCGCCTGAAATGAAGCTACCCCTGTTCAATGCCTTGGCTCGAGAGGTAGACATTCGCGGTGTCTTCCGTTACTGCAATGAGTGAGTGGAAAGCTAGGTTGTTACTTAAAATTACAACTAAGAAATTTGTTATCATTATAGCTATTCCGCTGCCTTGGCTCTGGTGGCGTCTGGAAGAGTGAATGTAAAGCGCCTTGTCACACATCATTTTGATATCACAGAGACTCAAAAAGCATTCGAAACAGCTCGGGATGGGTTAGGTGGCGCCATTAAAGTTATGATACATGTACAAGCTAGAAATACAAATAATCCAGTATTTTAGCTTGCCATGAAACGTAACACTATTATTCAAAATATATTATTTCGACAAACACAACGTTTATAATTGAATGAAAATTTTTGTTTTTATCTCATTCTGGTTATACTGCTTTTTGGTACAAAATCAATATATATATACATATATATATATATTGGAGTAGTTTAGCCGTTTCAAGCGAAATGGATAGCTGCCGACTGTTGCGGAATCTGTTAAGCTGTTTAACCAGAAAGTACAGCGGCTACGGCTCATTGTCTCCAATGATTCGACACTTGCACGGAGTAGGGGCGGATCTCGATGTTTTGATCAAGGAACGCATGCGCAAACAATTGATTACTGATTGGCATACAACAAATGAGCAAAGGCAAATGAATGTGTCTAGTGAGCCCACAACACAGGCAGCCAGCTTGGAGAAGGTTCTCAAACAGGATTTAGATATGGAGCAGAAAAAAAAGATCAAAAGCAATTACGTGGTTACATTGAAAAAATCAAATTCGATTGCAAGCGAAACAGCCTATAAAATAAATGGAATTATTTCCGTTATTAAGAGTGAAACGGCACCCATGAATCATAGGTACCGAGAAAAGTCCATGGAGAATCTGCCTACTGCAAGGTCTACTAAGGTGTAAAAATCCTATAATGTCTGAACAATCTTGACTAATTCAATAAAAGGATTACAAAGAATGATTTCCTAATAAATTTGTTCTATTTGTAACATTTTGAAATATTAGATAATTAAATACATGTGACGATATGCATATTTTACTCGATAAAGATTAATAACGAACATATTTGATACAAAAATAATCGATCCTTCCCTAGATTTTTAATATTTTTTATATTTAGTATATTTATGTAGATATTCTACCAAAAGATTTAAATTTAATGTTACTGAACGTTTTATTATTTTTATGTCGGAGATACTTTAGTATTAACATATTTCTGCTAAAATAAATCAGGTGTTATTTAGCTCTTACTGTAGGTTGCTATTCGATTATTAGAAATTCGAATGAATAGTAGCAATGACAGACAGATGGCGCTGTACAACTGAAGTAGTGGAAACGTTGTAGAAAATTAATAGATCAATCATTTGAGCGCCGAGTGGAACTTAATGTAATCGATGCAGTAGTCGGTTTGCTCACATAGGGAATATTTAAAAAAATGGTATTTGGTAATTATGGTTTAATTTATTTTAGAAAAAAAAGGATGACATATATGTATGAAGCTCTCATGACCTTTTATTCCTTAGCTAATAGCAGGCAGCTATGTATGTAAATATGTACATATGTATGTCCACTGTTCTTTGGTAAATGGTACAAATGTCTCTTAATTAAAGATCATCGCAATGCTTAGCACTAATAAATTAATTTCACTTCTTAGGCGAGTAAACGAATTCTTACACACATTATACACTTCTTATGTGGGTATTTACTATATATGTATGTTTGTTAAGTTCGTTGTTAATCAAATGTATAGGTATACATACATACATATCAAATGAAACCTTGATTATGGAAAATTAGAGGTAAGTTGTTGATAAGACCAGCGAACTTTTATTGAAAACAAATTTTGCATTAGATTCGAATCAGCGTTCAAGCTGTGTGGACGTCTTCTTTCAAACAAATATTTGACTTATTATTCTATATTAGAAAACAAAATGGCAAAGGATAATCTAACGGCTGTTTTACATGGCATTGAGGACATGCGATTGGTACGACAAAGTCCAAATACATAATAAGAATTAAAAATATAAATCATTTAATTTTCTCATATCATAAACAGGAACAGCGTCCTATACCGAATATTTCCCCAGAAGGTACAGATTTTAAATCGGTATCAATTAAAAGTTTGATTGATTTTAAACTAAATTTCATTCACAGAGGTTTTAATCGCAATGGATAGCGTCGGGATTTGTGGATCAGATGTTCATTACTTAACTAAAGGCCGTATCGGCCACTTTGTGGTGACCA